TTGTTCTACATCATGTATTGGTAATTGATACGATACAGTGAGTTGGTGTAGTCGATGGTGTGACTTCCACGTAAGATCTTATAGATTAGGCAGTTATATCATGACAAATCTACAATTTTAGGATTAGGTCTATTATTAGAGCAGTACTAATATCATAGTAGACCATAATTCTACATTGGTGAGCCCAACTAAAGAAACGCAACCCATTATTGTTAATCCTTATTTCCACCTTGACCTTCTCAATCGGATTTTATTTTTGTAAACCAACTATTCTAATAGTCCTTTGATTAATGGTCACATATATTATCGTAATGTTATATCTATTAGTTCACATAACTTACTAGCTCATTCGATAATAAAAACTGGTCGTCCATATTAACTAATTAGCTTTGATGGTTCGTTAACAAGCTTTAATAGCATTTACATGCTTCAGCGACATAGGCTTGTTTAAGCATCAAGCTCTAGCAAACATGACCAGTAAATAACGCAAATATACATCGACTAACAATGCAGTAAGGACTAAATAGTTACCTGGAGGTAATATTCAGTGTTCCTTATCTTATTACCTCATCCTGTTTTAAACTATGCACTATCCTGTAATATCTCTTCTTCCGACCACTGCCTGCCTAATTTCAAATTTTCGAGTTCCATTGCCACACAACAAGGATGACACTTCTCTAAAAACATACGGTGAGTTTCAGCCATAAGTTTTCTGCAATCATAAGGTCATTTTAGATGGCTCGTTCAATGGTGACCGCACAATTATCTGGATTCATTCGGTTGTTCTGATCCGAGCGAGTGGCAAAAACGTCAACAGCATCAAGGACTCTGGAATTAATTGCCATACTGCATGTTTTATCCTGGATACTTTTGGATCATTACTACTCCTCACGAATGGCGTTATATATGTCGTCCACTGAATAATATAATTTTCAAAAATAATCCGGGCGAGTTCAACTATTTTACTTAATGATTTTTTGTACTTAACATGTATATGCTTTCCAGTTGCTTTTGCCACATATTTGTAAGTGTCCCTAGGCTAAATGCAGTAACTTCTTATGTAATGTTTATAACGCGCCATATTCCTGCCTGAAGTTTCATAAGCAGTCTTAACTTTAAAATTATTTTTCTGGTCATGTTCATTATTTTTAAATTTTTATATACGTCAACAACCTGCATGTTAACGTGGCCCGTACATACGTTACACTATATCTTCATATCTTTTGAATTTAGAAACCATCTGAATCGCCTTTAACATTTATCAATAAACCCACCATAGTCGTTGTTGCTAATCATATTTGGGTTTATGGATTGGTTTATCATAGTAGCAGCCTAAAATGCAAACATACTTTAGATAATAAGATTAAAAATTTAGGTACTATCAACTGCACTTGTAAAATAACTAAATCCCTAGGTAGCTGTTGGCTAAATAAACGTTTAAAATCAAAACTCCGTAGCCTACTAGAATTAACACTAAACGAATCTTTCTGATATAAAATTTATAATTAAATTAGGCGTCTCGGATTCTTTAACGTTACAAATTTCTGATAATTTCGAATCACCTAAAGCAACAATACCTATTTTTCCACTGACTAATCCTCATTCAACACTATAACTAGTTAAACATAATAGTTCCAGGATATCATCATAAAGCATTGTCATGACTTGAAAATCACGTAATATGATTGATAAAATTAATGAAACTATTAACAAAATCGATCAGCGAATTGACTTATAATTATCACTAGTGTTGTTTTTTCTTTTATCTTCATTCACTACAGATGATTACAGTAGGTTTCTCTATCAGTTGCTCATTCAGTAAATATCTCAAAACCTTGTCAGTCTAATTGATGGTATAGCGACACAATCATGCATGCAAATAATCAGTATAAGCAGTCGAGCAAATCTCCTGCAAACTGAAAACATCAATGTCGAATTTACCCCAACACTGACTAAGGTTCAAGCCATTATCATAGACATGAGTTGGGAGTATACTCCCCCTGGTTACAACTTATGTTCTCCCTGATAATCACATGAGCATCACTCACCATTAATCATCTTGTAAAAACTTATTTAGCTAAATACATCTTGCAATACCACATCACTTCGTAATATGACACAGGCCTAACTGATTTTAATAACTTATAACCACTATATCTCAATTAAATCGTATTCCACCTTATTATAAACTGCATACTTGCAACTAACTTGTATGCCCAATCAGCCAGCAAGTATAAATATAAATAAATAGTCTGCCACAGATCAGAACATTGAGTCTAGAGCATGTCTCTTACGAATACACTTATGTTTAACGATTTGTTCCTAGCTATCTGTCCAAAATTCATATAATCATCACTTACGTATTTAAATTTTGTTTTGATAAACATTCATGTGTATTAGTAGTATTACTAAATTCTATCACGGTCAAGTAAAAATGAGGTTGAGAAAATCTACCCGTAACTAAATAAACCGTATCAAACTGACTGGAACACTGGTTGGAATTCTTCTCCACGGTATACTTTTGTTCCTTCAGTTAGCCTACTAATACAGATGCAATTGGAATTCAACTCTTATGGACAACTTACCGGCATAATCGTTATCTGATTTCACAATTTAAACCAAAACTAATACCAATATTAACATTTCTACAATATTTATTATTTTAATATTTCTAAACACAAAATAATTACTACCTATAAGTTAAGTTAATAACACGCATCGTTTTATTATTATTATTGTAATCCCATTTTTATAGTTCAAATAATCTTCAACCAAATTTTCATTTTAAGCGTGTTAATCATGAAAGCAGATATTTTAAGATTATTACATGTATTTCCCGACCAGATGCTGCCGTCTTTTTGATTTATCTTTCAGCTTATCAATACCTGGAGGATCCTTATTATCCTTGGTAACCTCCGGAGCGCGACGATCCCATCCAATTTGGTATCGAACCAACATCACGTTGATTCTGGTGGGAGAGTAGTGTAGTGGCATTGGACAATAGCCACACAATCCACAAAGCTGTGAACACGAGACTACTCAGAAAATAGATATTCAATATTTAACTCGGGGAAATACCTAACAATGGAGAGGGCGCAGAGAATGAATTGAATGGACTGAGTTGATCGAGTGGCATGGCTCGGCCATGCAGGTGTGGTCCCTGCTGGATGTTATCTTATATCTCCTATTCATATTAAATATATTGTTCTTTCTCTAGCCTAACCTTGTTCTACATCATGTATTGGTAATTGATACGATACAGTGAGTTGGTGTAGTCGATGGTGTGACTTCCACGTAAGATCTTATAGATTAGGCAGTTATATCATGACAAATCTACAATTCTAGGATTAGGTCTATTATTAGAGCAGTACTAATATCATAGTAGACCATAATTCTACAAGACGTCTCCGGCTCCTTCTGAGCCTCTTATAGCTTCCTCGAGTTCACCGGTGGTCCGTCGTCACAAGATACAAAGAGCCACTTCATTCGTGAGCTAAATAGACTTTGGGATGACTCTAAGACAGTAAATGTTGGAGCATTGTATTTGGATCGCAAGACAAATAACCAGAACATGACTCCAAAGTGCTCCTTCCTTCATACTTCATACTGAAATCCTTTCTACAATGAATGACCTTATAGCTGCTTATGGATACTGTACTACGATTATTTATCTAACCTAGACAGGTGTGGCATTCCTCCTCTTCATTTCTTCCTCCATTGTACCAGTTGCTTTTTTCTGAAAGCTTGTAACAACAGTGAACTTAATCTACAGTCCCATTACAATAACTTGCCTATTATTCAGCTGATATATCTGGGTGAATACCACCATATAATTTCACTGACTTTATCATTTTGATAACCACATTTTTATCACATCTCGTTACTAGATTCACGTCGCAAATTATTGGTCGGATTTTTTTTATTGACGAGGACCTGCTGTGTCAGAAATTGTTACCTTCACGTTTTCACTCTCTTCCGTTACTGAAGCATGGTCGATCGATCTCCTTGTAACATCCGATCCCAAATAACAATAGTTCCAAAATCCAAATCAGGCATCAAAGTCTGTTTGCAAATTACAGGAAACTGACCCAAAAACCTTTCTAATAATAAATAATAATAAACAAACTCTAAAGTACTGAATTGAAGTCGGAAGTGGAAAAATGAAAATGCGGCCGAACACTAAGATGAGGGCAAGGTGAAAACTTCTTATTAGAGTGCGAATCGTTTAATATCCGTGGTTTGAGCCATAGAAGAAGTAAATAATTTACCTTTTGAAAAATATCTATTAAAAACTCTCTTTTTGAATCCATATTGATACAAGACAACAGCAAAGCGATTACAAATTGTTTGCATTCCCTTTCTTCATCGAACTGGTCCAGAATGTCAGGCATATTACCGTAAGAATCCATTCATTGGCAGCTTCTAGTCTTATTGTTAAGTTGTGAACCACCTACTGGTCTTGTTGGTCAGACTGGGTCACATGTGGAAGGTTTCCCGAACTACAGGAAGATCCGGGACTTCACAGACATTGCTAGTTCTTTTTGAAGACTCAGTAAGAATAGCTCATTGGATGTATATAAATCTGTTCTTCCTATAAAAAGATAAGTAGAGGATTCTGATGGTGAATAGCAATGATTTTAGTGCTTGTTCTCACTGATGCGCACAGAAAGTTAAGTCAATGTTTTCTCATCACCATCCCCTTAGTATTTAACCTATGTTTTTTTAAGTTAAACAATCAAAATGAGAACTGTGTGCTGTCGTAGCTTGGAAACATCCCCAAAACAATTCAGATGCACAACTGAAAAACCAACAGTTCCCCATTTCTCACCATGGAAGATCTAATGTACGAAAACCAGAACTAAAGTACTTTAAATGCTAAGTTTTTAATGAGTTCGGCGCATTAGGTCTTTCCGATTATCAATTTTTAATGAAAATATTGCAAGAAAGTCAACTACCTGGACATTGTTTGTGTTAGGCAAATTGAGAGATCAGTAACCTTTGTGATTTGTGGCGCGTTAATTCTAGCTTTTAAATCGTAGTGTTCTGTCGATGGCGCATTTTTACCACGTGACTACCCAACGTCCTACTGCCGTGGTAAAAACGTGTACAGGTAATGCACGATAGTCTCTGTTATCTCTTTAACCAGGCCATTTTACCAGCCCAAATGATCTGAACTTACTGATATGCAAAAACACATATGTTGAAGTTTTTGAAGTTACATGTGAAGGCTTGAAATTGATCCGAGATGTGCCTATTAATGCCAAAATCGTTGCCGCTAGTCTATTTAGACGAAAAGTTAGTGTTCGAGGAAATTTTATTAATTCCAGGATCGTGAAACGGATTCGTTATTTTTACTCACTCACAAAGCTGGTGTCGCTATCATTGAATGTGTGCGAAGCAATGATTCAGTTGAGTTTGTCACTGTCGCTTCTGGAAGTGTAGAGGTACTGCAATATTTTAAGTGTACTAAATATTTCAGGATAGAAGTGCACGAATAATCGACCAGGGTTTCGACGTTCTAATAGACCCTGGTGCCAACTATATTGTTGTACGACTGTATCATGGGCTTTTAAAAATCATATTACTCCAATGTATTGGCGAAAAAATAGGCACTGATTTTCTAGATACAAACCAGTGGACTGTAAATACATACAGCGTGAGGTTAGTGCAATCCGTTTGTAGTTTATTCCCTTAAGAATCGAAGAAGGTAACATTGTTGATATGGCCTTCATATATGGCTATAGTTTACCAACATTTGCTATGATTTATGAGGATGAGCTTGTGTTGCATATGAAAACATATGAAATATATGGACGGGAGCCCGTACTTCGCAATGTTCAACTGACCCTAGATTCCATAGAACCTGATTCTAAACTTCTTATTCCAGTTCCGAAACCCTATGGAGGCGTTATTTTAGTCGGCGACAATATTATATGTTATCATACCAAAGATGGACCCCATATATCTCAGTACATTCCACAAGCAAAGGTGAGTTCTATTCTATTTTCTACCTATCTATTTTAAATATTCCGTTTTAAATCTCAAGTTATGTTTCCATAGTTTGTTTCATTTAGTTCCCCAAATATCTTATGCATAACACTTAACTTGACCCCTTAATAGTTTTCATCTCTTTTCTAGTTTCAAGTTTTCTGTAGTGATTCGATAGCTCATTTTAACAGTATTGGTTGGGTATGTTGACGATTTATATCCATATCATTAAGTTCTCAACTGTCCACTAATGATCTGTGCAATCGGTGTTTTTTCTCTAAGTTCATGTCTAGTAATCATCTAGTGCCTAAAAAGATTTGTGGGGAAAACAAGGAGAATATCCAACTGATATTTACTATCATATGTTACTATAGTTTTTGTCCAGTTGGAGCTGTTTGGGTCAAGTCAAAGCGGTTCTGGCCGTAAACGAGGCCACAAATAACATTCAACTGTTCGGTAGGCTTGAACCCTTTATCCTATTTGAGTACTCTTATCTGTTTGTTTATTTGCACACAGATATTGGTGCAAAGGAGCATCAAATACATATGCGCCACACAATAACAATGAGAATGTGAAGAGATTGAGAATGTAAAATGCGTACAAGAAAAAGGAGAACAATAACGAACAGAAATTAGTGTATGATAGTGAAATAATAATAATAGTGCGAGAGGCAGTTCAGTTAGCACAGATACAACCAGAAAGAATTCTTCCAGTTAAAGAAGTTACGTTCATTTGTTATGAAGAAAGTTACAGCAGGGTCACCACTGGCCTCTGTTCTGAGCCATATCTGATAACGTCTTAAGTCACTATGTTGCACTATCTCTCGGACCCCAGCCAGGTTGTCGTGACGAACCAATGGCTGCGAAACGTGGCCATTTAAAGGTAAAGGATACTCGTAAGTTACTAGAAATATTGCTCGCATCTGCTTGGTTAACTGGGTAAGTAATAGTGAGGTAAGACTCATAGTATTAGGGAATGATGGTTAATCAGTTAATGAGGTTGTGAGTCTTTATCGACTGAGATGGTTGAGCTACGTGTTACGTGTGCCTGAACACTGATTACCACGACGCGCAATGCTGACTAGTGTTGGGGATGGTTTACTATATTTCCCTTCCAGCTTCCTCGTTATATCATATAGTTGTCTGATATTTTTTCTCTTGCGGCTATTTTTGCTGTCGTTGATAGGTCTTCCACATATTTCTGCTTGTCGGCTACAATGCTCCTCTTCACTTGTTTGCTTTAATGTATTCAGTTTGTGCCTTGACTTTCTGTTCTTGTCCGGCTGTCTTCCTGTTCTTCCTTTCTTTAATCAACAATAACCTAAGTAAATTCCGTGCCCCCATGTTCATACCTGTTTACTTAGAATGGAGAATAAGACGGCATCAGATTCACTACCAGCTTCATTTCTGATCCATTCATTAAGAAAATCAGAACTCAGCATTTGTATTAAAAATCCAAACTATGATTCATCCACCCCTCTTTTTCTGTTCAAGTTATATTCTTGCTCGTCGTACAAAATCTTTGGTACGCAAGTTCTTACGTGGTTACTAAGCTGCATGATCCATATAACCGCATTTGGAGAATCTTAACTTTCTAAAAAATTTCATACTTTGGTGTCCTCTCATAAACTGGCCGATTCCTTACTAATGTTGGTATAATTACCTCCAATGTTTCCCATTTCATTCTCTCTGTATGCTAATGTGAATTGTAATAGACTGACCGATACACATTTTTGGTGATTGTACGTCATATCTATTTGTTTTAATGTCGTTAAGCACTCAAGCAACTGTCTACGTATTAATGTATAACAATGTCTTTTTTTAATTTTGGAAAATATATTCATCTTTTAAGGCTAGCCAAGTACTGTGTTACGCTGCTGTTGATGCACAACGTTATTTACTGGGTGATATGGCTGGGCGCTTATACATGGTACATTTACTCTCCGAAGATATTTCTGCGGCCGCTAGCAATGGTACAAGTACCTCTGATAGTCTTTCAGCCGTTCGAATTGGTTCTATCCGAATTGAACTTCTTGGTATGTTGATTAGATCCTATTACTTTTGTGTAGGATTGTTTTCAGTTGTGATTCTCGTTATATTTCAGTTTTAGTGTTCTAATGGCTTCCAATAGTCACACAACTTGATGAAACATTTTGTTTACCTATGAAAAAGAGACAGTTTGTTGGAACATGTTTCTTTTATACCTACAATTATGTTTCATATACGTTTCGCCTAATGCTTCTATAGTGAATGACCGGTTTGTCATATTTCCTTATTTTTTTGAAAATATTGGGTTTAGATTGTAAAGAAAACCATCTATCTAATTACGATGTCTGTAAACTTAGTTTTGCCAAACTGTATTTGACTAAACTTTTTGATAGATGGTTAAGGAAGTAAATTAAATGTGTTATACCTTAATGTTCATGGAATTTTGTATTAAGCTATGCTTTGAGCGATAATTACTTATGATTTCCATTTTATGTGACAGTATAAAAATATCTCAGTTTTTGTTTATATATCAATTTGGCTGATAACTTGGATCACACTTTCCAACTTTATTCATTTTCTTAGGAGAAACTGCGACACCTGAATCTATAGCCTACCTAGACAATGGAGTTGTATTTATTGGCTCAACACTTGGGGACTCACAGTTGATTCGTTTAAATCCTGACCCAGATCCTGAGCGTAATAGTTATATAACTATTTTAGAAACATATACAAATATTGGACCGATAGTTGACATGGTCTTATTAGAAACAAAAGGTCAGAATCAATTGATCACTTGTTCAGGAGCTTATAAAGAAGGAAGTTTACGTGTTATACGCAATGGAATTGGGATTCATGAACATGCTACTATTGATCAAGATCTAATTAAAGGTTATTGTTTTTATTTTATTTTGTAACGACTTCATCATTTTACTACTTGTTGAGATTCGAGTGTAAAAGATTCGGAATTTCCCTATAGAGATGGTAATTGATTTGTCATGTTTATTACTGTTATCCTTAGTTTGAAATGAACTTGTTTTAAAATCTTTATGCACTAATCTGATAATGTTTAGGATTGAACTTTTTAGTTTGTGTCTTTCAGTGTATTATTCGGTGATGTTTATAATCCCCAAGGTACCTGTCGGACAGCAATCATATATATATATATATATATATATATATATATATATATATATATACCTTGCTAATTTCATCTTTGTGTGCTGATTTGGTGTGACAACTTGATCTAATACATATTTGTGCCACGCATTTACGATGTTGGTAACTGACTGACTGACATCACTATACGTTAGTTGTAGTTGGCGACACCAGATAATGTTGATGTCAGTAGACCAACCCTTCTAAAATGCTTAACAATTTAATAGTTAAATCCTACTTGTTTTCTGTTATCCCTTGCTTAATTGATCAATTCACGCATAGTGAAAGCCAAAGCGGTTTATACCAATCTGCATCCCCCTTGGCGACTTCGTGATGTTAGTCTGGCTGTAAAAGGTCGGATCTTTAACGCTTTGGTGAGTGCAGTTTTGTTCTATGCTTATAAAATCTGACCATTCCGAGTTGAAGATGTTAGACGACTCTGTTCTGATCATCGTTGTCTCAGAAGGATTGATGACATCCAGTAACAAACCATGGTAGTAATGCAAAGGTTCGGCATCGTGTGTTCGGGCACAATGACGATTGTTCAGTTGGTGTCACTATCGTGAAACATCGACTTCAGTGGCTTGGAGATGTTCTAGGAATGTCGTACCAGGAAATTCCACGTCGTGCGTTATTTGCCGACGCTGGGACTGGTTGGAAAAAGCGAAGATGGTCAGTGTATGACATGGTGTCGTAGTATCAAAGAAAGCTGTACAAGACTAACTTCTGTTGGTTTTTCACGACTCCCTGGCTGGGGTCCGAGAGATAGTGCAACATAGTGACTTAAGACGTTATCAGATATGGCTCAGAACAGAGGCCAGTGGTGACCCTGCTGTAACTTTCTTCATAACAAATGAACGTAACTTCTTTAACTGGAAGAATTCTTTCTGGTTGTATCTGTGCTAACTGAACTGCCTCTCGCACTATTATTATTATTTCACTATCATACACTAATTTCTGTTCGTTATTGTTCTCCTTTTTCTTGTACGCATTTTACATTCTCAATCTCTTCACATTCTCATTGTTATTGTGTGGCGCATATGTTTTTGATGCCCTCTTGTGCAAATGTTTATGTGTTCGAAATGATAAATAATTGTTTTCTTGTGATTATCCTGATTCTGTCATTGACTACTTGTACTGTTTGATTCTTCGTTACGTTATAAGTTTTATGCCATATGATTTTATTTTTAACATCCACAGAGTTGTCCAGGAGTACAGCATGAATGAAATAACGCTGATTTCTTCACGATTTTTGAGTTCTTAGTCAACATCTGGTATTATATCCTCAGGACACAGTAGGCTTACAGTTGATTAGATCTTAAAAATATACGTCATCAAAAATTCAGTTTACTTATCTGATTCGAATTGTCTTTCGATCTGTCCTAATTAGTAGTTAGATTTATTTACTCACTTATATTTATGACATCCTTGCCGAAATGAATCAAATTGGAATGTTTTATTCATTTCTAGGTGCTTGGTGCTTCCCGATTGAATCTGATCGTTTCGATGATACAATTGTAGTATCTATGGTTGGTCAGACCCAGTAAGTAATGTATTTAGTGTTTGTATGGATCATTTATTATAACTCAAATTCTTTGTTACCCGATTTATTAAACACTAAATATCTTATTTAAGGTACGGATACGTATAATTTCGTTGTCTTCACTACAACTGAATCTAGTTACATAGGGTCATCTGTAACCAGACACAATCATTGGGTTTATCCTGTTGGGAATAAATAATGGTTTATACGATTGTACAGTTGTCTACTACTCATTTACTTTTATTTAGTTTTCATAAAGTTAAGAGACAGAAATGACTAACTATTTAACACCTGTCCTGGAATTATTATAACCTGGAAGTTACGCAACTTCACAATGAATTTTAAAATGATATACTTGTTTGTATGTATGTTTCTTCAAGTTAAGTTCACATTCATATCAACAGTATAGATAATTGATTAATAATCCATTAGACGCATTTTTATTCCTGTGGATTTTTGTTCAATATTTTAAATTCTTTATCCTTCATTCTTCCTATTTATAGACTTCTTCACCTTGCGGATGATGATATTACAGCTCTACACTTGGAAGGTTTTAAGACTGATGAACAAACTGTTTATTGTGCTACACTATCACCCTCTAATGATTCACCTAATCCAGAATGCATGGTGATTGACGAGAATAATAATACGCTAGATCCTTTACTGTTACAAGCAACAACAAGTGGCTTACGCCTAATTGGTATTCAATCACTTTGTGGCAAAGGTTGTTTAACAGAATGGAAACCACCAACTGGACGTGGAATCTCTTGTCTTAGCTCATTTTGTCATACTATCGTTGTAGCAAGTGGGACAGAATTATATGTGTTAAAAGTAGTTGGGGTATCGAGTAATCCAAAATTTGAACAAGTTTCGTAAGTTTTTAAAATTTCTGTTTATTGTGAAATCATATACGTCCAGTGTACACATCATATTGAAACAGTAAAAGCAACGTGAACATTCTTATTGTTTGTTAGATATGAAATGTCTAGCATTTATCGGGTGAAGAAAAAAAACGAACCATCAACAAATTCATTTGTAATAGGATACTTTCAGCATTCTATTATATAAATGGATTGTTGTCCAACATACTTGACTAGATTTTCAGTTTGTTTCAAACTTGGGTAGACTAGGTTATCTTCATGCTTATGGACTCAAAGAACAAAAGTAAGTGTCGAGCGTAGAAATCGGTATGTATAAGTAAATTTATGGTACTGATAAATGTTTACTTATAATCCGAATGCTATTCAAAATCGTTTTTATTCAACTTTATCTTGAGCGTTCACCGTTTTTACTGTTTTCACCGAATATCGATATATCTGTTGCCTGAATGTCATTTATTCTCAAAAGAATACAGTGTGAAGAATCTCAAGATAAAACTTTTGTGTATACATCAATTTTTAAAAAATCATAAAAGCGTATATGGTATTTTGCTTCTAAGCAAACTAGGGCTTAGTCTACACACGGGTCTTCTTACCGTCAGACATACAAATTATTTTGTTTGATCACTAATTTTGGTAGATTTATCTTATGAAGTTATGCTGTAAATCAGGAGTTTTGATTCGCGTTTATCACACATGGATTTAATAATTCAGCCAGGTATGAATGAAGTATTCGTCACAGCTGTTATTATTTTTGTATTCAAGAAAGTTCGGAAATATCGGACCACACAAAAAGGTTGTATTTTCCTGATTAGTCACTCGACTGTAGGTGTTGCCTCGATATGGTGGTCGGGCTTCTCTTCGTAATGATCCAATCAAGCTCTGTTGGCTGGGACAGTTATGGAGAACGGTAAAGCTAAGAGCAGCAACCTAAGGTCCAAGGGCGGGGTCGCATCGCTAACTAAACCATTGTGTGACGGCAGTAAGCTTTTTATCTTAGACAACCAGCATATACCGAGATGCTGCCTTCTCACAGTGTTAGGAGCTCTAGAAAAAACGGCCCTTCTATATCCCACGGATTCCCGTCTCCGGCGGTAACACCTTTAAATTAAGGGGCTAGCATATCAAAAGCTTCTCACAAAAAGGTCATGTGCGACTGCTTTCAAGCAGTTGTCGTTTTAGTTCCGCGCTTATGTTAGTGGTCCCTTAAGTTTAAATATACTGTGTTTACCCAGACGGTGCAGATAATTAATAGTGTTTTGTTTCATATTCATTCCTTTGAAAAATATCCAATTGGAAAGAAGTTCAAAATGTTCTTATGTGATAATGTATTTTATTATTATGACTACTCTCAATGAATTCTATATATCCTATTTTGTCCTCTAATTTTTTTGCTTACATAGACATAGACAAATGTCCCATGAAGTGGCTTGTATTGATCTAACTCCCTTTAATCATGATCGTGCAATTGCAGCTATTAATGCAGTGTCATCAAATTATATAGATTCAACTTCATCTTCTACTCTTGATAAATCTGTACCATCTTTAGTTGCAGTCGGTTTATGGTTAGGACATGGTCTCGCTTTACTTAAACTTCCTAATTTAGAACTTGTTCATGAAGAACCTTTACCGGAGACAACAGCATCAACTGGTACAGCTCTATTACCTCGTTCTGTATTGATTGCTCAGTTAGAGGATATGGCTTATTTATTTGCTGCAATGGGTGATGGTACTCTTTACTTTTATACAATTGATCCTTCAGAAGGTGAGCCTTACTTATTTTTCGTATATAATCATGTTAACACATACTGACTGTATCATATCAGAATAATGGTTGCCTTGTATAATTTCAAATATTTATTCACATGGCAACTTTTTAAAATGAAGTTGTGATTAAAAAACCTTTTTTTCCTTTTGTTCGAGTTTGTTTAGATCGTTTTCACATATTTTTAAAAAATTGTAACTATTCTAAGAACATTTGTTTAGACATGCCTAAAAATACCGTATACCCGCTAATTAACTTCGGGTAATTATTACAAGGTAATTCAAATTCTAACGATCGGGCTAAACACTACTGTTTATGTATAATAGTTTATAGTGAGTTTTCAACGGTTCAAAGTTCAAGTCCTCAAACTTATTTTCATAATATGACATTCGTGCATATATCTATGTGTATGTCTTCTTCTACACCTAATTTAATATCTACATCTATACAGCTATAGTTTTGTGATTTAAATGCAGTTGACTTCCATTTGATAAGTTACTAGCCCAAACACCTCCCCACCTACGTTGGTTTAAGCACCTGAATAACACCACTAATTCTTGAACTCAAAAATATGTTACTAAAAAGTTAAATGTAAAAAAATGCACTTGATAAATAAGTTTCATTAAATTAAAGTATCTGTATTTATTCGAGTAATCTGCCAAAGTAGTTGATGGTTGTAGCGATTTATCGACTGTAGTAATGACGAGTTGTTAGTTTGTAAATTTAATTCAGGGGTTTATTTATCTACAATAGCTTTCAGTTTATTGATTGTTTCTGTTTTCCCCATGGTCTCAAGTATACATTTAAAAATAGTTGGTAGTGAAGAAACAGATGATTTTCTAGCATTTAGATGAGTTTGACCACAATTTCAGTGTATACCGAAACATGCTAGCACAGATACAGTGAAATGAGAAAACTTTAGAATAAAACAAAAATATTGAAAATTTTCTTAGAATTTCCTGTTAAGCTCCTACACCATATATAGTCCCGGAACTTATTTTCTGACAAAATTGAGATTAAGGTGAATCATATACGTGTGATCAGTCACAACAATCGAAATAATAGTATCAACGATAACAAAAATATTGATCATAGAGAATTATAAACCAATAAATTCAAGTTATAAAAAGTGTGTAACAATATTAAAACTCAAAATTTAGGAGAAGAAAAGAATCAACACCTTACTGTGTCATTATAACAGACTTGGTGATTTGTCACCTAACCTTTGTAGCTTCTTTGCTAACATGACTAAATTTAAGGTATTTTTAAGTTTGACAAAGAAAGACCCACAGTTTGTCTAGCGGACAAGTAGTGTAGGTCTTAGTTTAAGTCTGTTTTTACACTAACATCATCTTTAGGTATAATACATTTCAAGTAATTTCAATTCACTCTTAATTTGATGTCCAAGATTTAGGCTTAACACTGACGTCTAAATTGATTGGCGAATAAGTGACCGACAAACTTCCTCTAGTCATCTATGATGTTTTATGTTAATATAAAATTTTGTTACACATGCAACCCGTTCATCTGACTAGTGGTCTTGTCTTTGATATCAAATCAATCAGTGGCCTAAGTCAATAATTCGTTATCTTGAGCAGCTATCTCTCTGTCACACTTCTTATCATTGTATTGTCATTGATCGAGATGCCGCTCGTTCATTTCAACACTTACAATTCGTATTTATTTATCAAATCATAAAATCCCAATCCATAATGACTTCGTAGTTTTCTTGATTTTATTCTCATAGTACTGTATATTCTGTTCTCTGACGTTTCTAGCACTTCTGTATAAACTAGTTAATTTCAATTCTTTGTAGATCGTGTTTGTTTACGTGATCCCAAGCGTGTCAGTGCAGGCACTGGACCTTCAATGTTTCTAAGACAATGGCGTTCACAACGTAAAGTGAATGTATTTGTTTGCTCAAATCATCCTTGTGTAATATATTCAATTAAAAATAAATTAATATTTGCCAATTTAAACTTGAAAGAAGTGAATTTTATGACTCCATTAAATGGATTATTTTATAGTGACTGGTAAGAATTATACTGTTTTTTTAAAATTTTATATACTATGTAGTGAAAAAAAGAATACAACATAAAAACATGGATATCACCACCAATTAGTCACTCATTAACAACGTAGAACCCTGGTACATATATCCCCCGGTTCAAGTTGTCACTTTATATTAGCAGATCAAGACGGAATTATCAAGATAAATCTTAGAGTAAGTAGCATAACAGTCTTGGTCGCAGTAGAAAAAATGGGTATAAACAATATACTACGCTAAAAAAATGTATTTGTGAAATAAAAAAATATAGGGTAAGATATTTACAAAGCTCAAGGTTCAATGGAAGAAAAAAAGTGAATGCAACTGCGTTGTGTTGACCGTTTTTGAATCGTTTGATCTGTCATCTCTAACTTTAGGTTAGGATAATTGCGTTGGCGAAAATAACATCAAATTAATCATCAATTCAACTTATTAACACTAGACTGATAGGTTTGATGAATTCATTTGAATATTCCAGCTATTGGGTTATAAATTTCAAACTCTACCACAGATCTTAGTTTAGTTGCTGTTTTACCAAAAGGTGTGTTTATGTGTATTGTACAAAGCGTTTTGTTTAGTAAATTTACCGATTTATATGGTACCGTCAATATTCAAGCACACCCTTATTCCCCTACATAATACCCACACACATTCCACTGTGTTCATCATCGACCAAAGAAAAAAATTAGATTTTCTAAATGTGTCATCGTTCTTTGTCATCACTGAGAGTAAAAGTAATTGGGGATTGTGCAGATTTGTATTGTAAATGTTGTGACGCGCGATGTTCGAAAGCTGATACTGATAAGTACACAAGCATGCATGCTCTAAAAAAGACGCAGTGTGTGAAGGGAGGTTTATTTGACTAAGCGCATTTATATACATCCACTCATTTACGCTTATATATGTTTGTCCCCTAAAAAATTAATCCTATGCGATGGTTTGTGGCTTTTATCCCAATCGTCAATCACACATGCTTATCATTTGCCGATTTCCGATCGACCCAGTTTGTCAGTACTTTACCGAGTCAATCGCTTGTATTATTTCGCTCTACTGAATACTAGTCTTCACACCGAATCGTAAGTCTTTCATATTGGTCGTTGTTATGCGTTAATATAAATTGAAGAAGTACTGAAAACCAGAGAGCATCAAATTACTGTTGTGTCATAGTCTAGGACTAACCAACAGTCCTCAGTGTCTCCTCCTCCATGTGCTGAGTCGAGGATTTTCAGGATACATTGTAAATCAAATGGCGTGCATTTCTAAAATTGATCAATCTGTATATATTTGGCAGTTTTTTTTTACATAAAAGGTCCTATCTGTTTTAATGTTATTGCACAAATCATATTAAGTGTTGTCTTTGTATCTGAATGCACGTTTTATAATCTACTCAGCATTGCACTGGTTACTCCGACGGCACTCATCATTGGATCAGTGGATGAAATTCAAAAACTCCACGTAAGAACTCTGCCTTTAGAGGAAACACCGAAACGCCTTGCATTACAGTCAGAAACCAGCAGCTTAGGTGTTATTACATATCGTCAAGAAATGTTTCAAGAAGGTATGGGATTCAAACCTGTTCGTTCATCGATATCTTTATCACAGAAAATTCCCAAGTCAGCTAGCCGACTTCCAAAGACTGCACCATGTATGTTTCTCTCTTGCGCGTAACATTTTCCAAATACTATAATAACAATATTACAGTAATCAGTATTTAATGTGTAACTTATAAATATTTTTCATTAGAAAATGACATCTATTAATCTATAAGCGTATTTATTCAACTTGTAATTACATCTGTAAGGCGAATCACTAGCAATTAATGGACTGTTTTATAAGTGTACTGTTATGTGTTTCTGAAGGGAGTTGTTTGTCGATAAAATCGAAATTCTTAGTGAAATAATTACGATTTGTTTTGTACTCTTCGCTTTAACTAATGAATTTCATTCAACTTAATATAAGAACAAAATTGGATTGAGGATGAGATATATCCCAAAACAAGCCGAAAGTAAATATCCAAAAGCAAAAATTTGCAGAAGAATTTCCAAACACTGATTGTATTAGATAATTGAGACAATTCACTAAGCATGCCACTCGTTAAGAGTATATTCTTCTAACGGAAAATCCATTTCTTTCAACAAACCTATCTATTTATCAAGAACTAGTCTAGTAACTGAAGATCAACTTGACCATCTCAATACGCTTTTTGTCTTATATTTAACCTTGAAATGGTTCAAATGATCTTAGAGAGATGGTGCTACACAGTGGCTAGAGACGTTATCAGATATGGCTCAGAATAGAAGCCAGTGGCGATCCTGCTGTAACCTTCTTTTACTTTCTTCATAAAAAGTGGTTCTGTCTCCCTTACCTGAAAGATTTCTTCCGATTGTACCTTTGCGTTCCCTGATTACTAGCACATTACCTTACACCAATCTCTTCGTTATTGTCCTCTTTTTTTTGTTGCGCTCCTTAGCTTTTTTTTTCTTTCTTTGTATTCCTCTCGAATTTTCATTGTTTTGTGTGGCGCATATATATTGGCGCTCCCCTGTACCAATATTCATGTGTCCAAATAAATAAATAAATAAGAGTAAAACAAATCGCTTGTTTTTACTTTTACACAGGATTTATTGAAGATAGTTCTTCAGGAATTTCCCACAGGTTGCTTATCAATTCAAATTACTTCATTTATGTGCAAAATACTTAATTTCAATGATTTCATGTCAAATATTTGTGTATCATTATTTTTAGCTTCTGTCTCTGCTACTGAACGAAAGTTTCGTGAAATTGAAGTTTCATCTCTGCTCATATTCAATCAATCTAATTTGGAAATTCAATTTGCACATAATTTCTACTTCAGTCAAACATTAGTTGAAGTAGCTGTCAGTATAGCTTCTGTTCAATCTGATATTCATAATGGACCATTGTTTGCTGTTGGCACTGCTTTCTTAGTAGAAGATGAAGTGGAACCATCTAAGGGACGAATTCATTTATTCCGTTGGGATCCTGAATCTTCTAGATTGGACACAGTTCTAGTGCATGATGTGAATGGTTCTGTTTATCGAATAGTGGATTTTAATGGTCGTCTACTAGCTGCTATCAATAGTTCAGTAGGTGTATATCATGTGGCGATAAGTATTTGACCGTTTGTTTTTATAATTATCTTATCTATGTGATGTTTGTTTGTTGCATTTTCTTCTGTGATTATACTCCCTGTCATGTCATTTAGATATATCACAAAAATTCAACATTGACGAAGTGTGTATTTAACAAACATCCAGCCACAATCCATCAAAAATAAGATTTCCTAATTATTTAAAAAAGTTTCGAATCTTTAATTTTCAAGTTTAAATACATTGGTTGATTGACTTATCATGTACAATACGACTTGAGATCAACCATGGTGGTATACGCATATTCATTCTTTAATTGTAACGGACATTTTGATCATCTTATTACATTTCGACTTCTTGTTAATTGTCTATATCCATATCTTTTTTACTCATTTCTATGGTTCTCGTCGTTTTAAACTTATCTTTCCTACTTGCTACCAACTTGGTCCTTCAGCTGAAGCTAATAAGCAGATAAAACCGATAACAATGTATATACTAACAAAAATATCACATTTCGTATTCCATAGTCTGTTCGTCCGTAATCAATTTAACTGACCCCCAAGTTTCCATAACTACATTAACACATTGAAATGAAGTTAATAAAAGAAATATATTAAAGCATTCTAAACAATGTAGTCCGCGCGACTATCATAACCAGTGGTTGGAGACGGGGTGATATAGCTCAAAATCTATCACAATGGCGTAGGTGTATACGCTCTTTGTTTTCCCTTAAATTGTGAGATTCAAATTACTTTATACCTTTTTTTCTACGAACTAATCCTTTCTCCCTGTATTATATTCTTATCTGCAACCTTTCTTTTATATATTACTACCATTGAAGTAACTACTTTTGAGGTTTTTTGTTAATCTTGTTGTGCAACTTAGACCAATACATATATCTGTCTGGTCCTACGTTGTAGATGACTGACTGACTAAATGATAATGAGCATGACATTCAATGTACTTTACAAATAATTAATTTTATAAAGAAGAAGATCTATTTTCATTTCGCTTATATTCGTTGAAACTATTCTTTTTTACTCTCATTGTTTTTCAAAAGGTACGACTTTTTGATATTAAAGAAGATTCTTTACGATTAGCTTGTAGTTTCAATGAGAATATCATTGTACTTTTTCTTCGTCGCAAAGGTGATTTTGTTCTTGTCGGTGACTTGATGCGTTCATTAACATTGTTACTATTCAAATCAAATGTTAATAATTTTGAAGCTGTAAGTTTCAGGTAGTGTTTTTTGTTTATCTAAAAGTCAGATACATTTATACTTTTTTTCTTACCCATTACTTGTTACGATGTTTATTACTATTATCATTGACATGGAAAAATTAGCTTAATTTTTAATAAGTATATAGAGTTGATAGTTTCCTCAAAGTGTTTATTTTTGACTAAGTTATTACCCTGATATATACATGAAGTTTTGGTGTCCCTCTTTTTGTTAGTTCTCAAAAATTCGTTTTAAAGGTAAATGATACTTTTATTCCATACTAGATTGGACGACATCGTCATCCTCGTTGGACAACATGTATTGAAATCCTTGATGATGAACATTTTCTTGCTGCAGAAGTGGAAAATAACCTTTTTGTCGTTTCAAGGGATCTACCAGAAAATACTAAAGAACCTAGTTTTCGTGCTTTATTATCATCATCGAGTGACTCATGTGTTTTGCCATCATTATCCAGTCAACTACAATCCAATAATGCTTCATCATCAAAGACCACCGGTTCATCAACTCAACCTGACAATACCACTAATGATAATATTGTTGCTTCTGGCACTAGTTCTACTACAACTTCAATGAGTTCAATACCATCATCAGTAGCAGAGGGTCGAAGTGGTAGTACACAATCAACTCGTCATTTTCTTGATTCTCGTCTAACTGGCAGTAAACCGAATTCCAGTGGTGTATCAGGTGAAATGCAACGTCTAGTTGATTGTGCTTATTTTCATACAGGAGATTTTGTCAATGTATTTGTACGTGGTAAGTATTTTTTTAATGCAACATTTTATAAATTCAATTGATTCATTACTCAACTTTGAATTATGAAGTGAAATGGTTTTCGCAATAAAGTAGTATTTTATTTGTCTGAAACCTATTATAAACATATGTACTAAATTAATCGGTTATACTTTCAAAAAGAAATTCAACGGTTGGACTTATTTTTTCTTTATCTGATTGAGTAATGCTACAATGTGTTTTGCCAGTTAAGCTTTTGATTTCCTGTTACTTTTCAACATCTATTTGTTTCTCAGTCTTTCTAGGTAATTACTTCATAGTGTACATATGTTATGTCATCTTTTGTCGGATTAGTGGCCTAGCAATCATTACATTCTTTTCGGATGTCAGAACTGTTGTGCTGAACTCAAATCATCTCTAAAGTTTTATGCTAGAAGACATACGTTTTTTAATTTCATGAAGATATTGAAAATCCTGATACAAGACACCTCAGAGTATTAGGATATACTGTTTCAGTAGAATTTTATTTATTTTAACACAGTTATTGGTACAAGGAGGCACCAAACAGATATGCGCCACACAGACCTCACTTGATATGTGTGAGGGCTGTGATACTGCCCGGGTACTCAAACCGAAGCAGGTGGAATAAAAGCCAGTAACTTAAGTTAGTCTGTACCACATTTGGCACGATCTTAATCTCAGTGTGCTCATGATGAAATTCTAACCGATTTCTGCTATAACCTAGGCTTCGTCCCAACTTCAATCACCAATACATTAATAATCATATTTGGCAAATCATGTTATATCAAGCAAAGTGATCAATAATTGGTTTGTTAATCTTTAAAAATCTGACATTATAAGTTGCTTGTACTATATCATTTAACTCTCATATCTGTTATTGGACATTGAAGGTTAGATTATCCCGACAATTGAGATCACGTATTATTTTAGTGTTCCGCTAGAGGAAGTGATCTGAACTTTTTCAAGGACCTAAACAAAATGTCACTTGGAATACAAAATCTACATGTTTATTGAATTATCTTCATTCACTCTGGACCTAAACAATCTTCCGTCGAACTGTATGCTTATCTTTTTTACTTTAGGAGTATAAACATTTCATCCGTCTATTATAAAAATTAATAACGCAGTTTTGCTGTTGGTTTTACTTTCGGTTATTTGTAACTGCTAACGATATATATATATATATATATATATATATATATATATATATATATATATATATCTGGGAATGGGTAACAATTCTTGCTTCTTATCACTTGAAGTTATTCTCTTTTAGCTTGCCTGAATCCTATTTAGTGCCATTGTTGTTCACATTGAGAGTCTCTGCCATCAAGTAATTGATGTATGTAAACAAGCTGATCAAACATGGAGTAACTCAGGTCGTGTAGCTGTTGAAAAGATATATATACCATAATTTGAAATGATGGACGCTGGATTTGAAGCTTACTGGAGGTATCGATACAGATTCAGGTTTGTGTAAATAATAAATCATCGTAAACTTCATCGCCACGTTCCAATAAACAGTATAAAATTATGTAAGATATGCATTGTGGCTTAGATTACTTTGAATGCTACAGAGATTTATGCTGTAATATGAATACCCCCATAATTTTTTTATTTGTGAAACTATAATGCGAATCAAGTTTAAAAACATTTGTAATAATTTTTAACTACGTATGTTTTATTTAAGGTAATCTTGTGCTTCAGAATGCTGAAGAACGCTGGGCTGCTGTTGGTTATCCTGGTCACCTTTACGGTACTGTTAACGGGGGTTTAGGTCTTCTTGTTCAAGTTTCTCCAGTTTTATTTGCGTTTTTGAAAGAAATCGAGTTTCGTTTGTCAAATCTGGTTGTACCTGTCGGTGGATTTTCACATGATACATGGAGAGCTTTTAAAGCTGATCGTGAAATTAAGATGTCGCATAATTTCGTAGATGGTGATCTCATTGAAACAGTTACAGATTTAAACATGGACGACAAGGCTAAATTAGTTAAAGGTTTACGAATACCGGTATGTAACATTCTTTTGGTTTGATCATTACAATTTATATAATTATCGACACTAATATTTCAGTTATATACTTACGTCTTTTACCCCTCGTGGAGGAACATAGGCCGCCCACCAGCATTCTCCATCCTACTTTGTTCTTAACAATCCTTTCCAGTTGCTATTCATCCCTTTAGTGTTTGCTTCCGATTTCCGATTTAGTGTGTTCTTTGACCTTCCTCTTTTCCGTTCCCCTTCAATATTCCAAGTTAGCGCTTACCTCATGATGCAGTTTGATTCCCTAAATGTGTGTCCTACCCACTTCCAAAACTCCGCCTGGAGTCCCTCCGGGGGCTACTGCCGGTTCCAAGCCCGGATAAAGGAGGAGGGTTGGGCATGGGGTTAGCGTCCCCATCCCGTAGAAAACTAACTCGCTAAAAAAACGCTAACCAGAAAAAATTATTCAAACCTTTTAAACTCTGCCCTGGGAGTCAGAAGGTCTTCATTTAGAAGAATTATGACGCCTCATGATGAAAGCCGAATTCCTTCGGAAGTTACGAGGCCGATGCCCCTTCTGACAACCAGAGCGACCATTTATTTAGGTACATGGAATGTTCGTACAATGTGGGACACCGGGAGAGCCTACCAAATTGCTGCAGAAATGAGAAGATACAACCTAGAGGTGCTTGGGATCAGTGAAACACATTGGACACAAGTTGGACAACAACGACTAACTACAGGAGAGCTCCTGTTATACTCTGGCCATGAAGAAGAAAATGCACCACATACACAAGGAGTTGCATTGATGCTGTCCAAACAAGCTCAAAATGCGCTTATAGGATGGGAATCTCATGGACCAAGGATCATCAAAGCCTCGTTCAAAACAAAGAAAGAGGGCATTTCAATGAACATCATCCAATTCTATCCGCCTACCAACGACCATAATGAAGACGCTAAAAATCAATTCTACAATAGGCTGCAGTCAATCGTCGAGAAGTGCCCAACGAAGGACCTGACCATTCTGATGGGAGATTTCAACGCCAAGGTTGGAACGGACAACACTGGATATGAAGACATCATGGGACGATACGGACTGGGAGAAAGAAACGAAAATGGTGAGAGATTTGAAAATCTATATGCCTTCAATAAGCTGGTCATTGGCGGCACCATATTCCCACATAAACGCATACACAAAACCACATGGACTTCACCGGATCACTCTACACAAAACCAAATCGACCATATTTGCATCAACAAAACGTTCAGGAGGACTATAGAGGACGTGAGAACCAAGAGAGGAGCTGATATAGCATCAGATCGTCAGTTGCTGGTCGCCAAGATGAAATCGAAACTCAAGAAGCACTGGACAATGGGGCGGACAATATCACAAAAGTTCAATACGGCCTTTCTTCAGGATACTGACAAACTCAACAAATTCAAGATAGTCCTCAGCAACAAGTTCCAGGCCTTTCATGATCTACTCAATGGAGAAGGAACTACTGTGGAGAGCAACTGGAAGGGGATCAAAGAGGCAATCACTTCAGCATGTCATGAGGTCCTGGGTCACAAGAAGCACCATCACAAGGAATGGATCACTGTTGATACACTGGATAAGATTCAAGAAAGAAGGAACAAGAAGGCAGCAATCAATACCAGCCGAACAAGAGCAGAAAAAGCCAAGGCACAAGCTGAGCACACAGAAGTGAACAAACATGTGAAGAGGAGCATTAGAACCGACAAACTTAAATATGTGGAGGATCTAGCAACGACGGCGGAAAAGGCTGCAAGAGAAGGAAACATGAGACAATTGTATGACACGACAAAGAAACTCTCTGGAAATAGCCGCGAAGCAGAACGACCAGTGAAAAGCAAGGAAGGCGAGGTAATCACCAACATTGAAGAGCAACAAAACGGGTGGGTAGAACACTTCAAAGAACTCTTGAATCGACCAGCTCCACTGAACCCACCCAACATCGAAACAACACCCACGGACCTCCCAATCAATGTTGGCCCACCAACAATTCTAGAAATCAGCATGGTCATCAGACAAATCAAGAGTGGCAAAGCAGCAGGACCAGACAACATTCCAGCAGAGGCACTAAAAGCAGACGTAGCGGCAACTGCAAGGATATTCCACATTCTCTTCAATAAGATTTGGGATGAGGAACAAGTACCAAAAGACTGGAAAGAAGGACTTCTGATCAAAATACCGAAGAAAGGCGATCTCAGCAAGTGTGATAACTACAGAGGCATCACTCTTCTCTCAATACCGGGAAAAGTCTTCAACGGGGTATTGTTGAACAGGATGAAGGACTGCGTAGACGCCCAACTTCGAGACCAACAGGCAGGATTCCGTAAGGATAGATCGTGTACAGACCAAATTGCAACTCTACAGATCATTGTGGAACAATCAATTGAATGGAATTCATCACTCTACATCAACTTCATTGACTATGAAAAAGCATTTGACAGCGTGGACAGAACAATACTATGGAAGCTTCTTCGACACTACGGCGTACCTCAGAAGATAGTCAATATCATACAGAATTCATATGATGGATTACAATGCAAAATTGTGCATGGAGGACAGTTGACAAAGTCGTTCGAAGTGAAGACCGGTGTCAGGCAAGGTTGCTTACTCTCACCCTTTCTCTTTCTCCTGGTGATCGACTGGATCATGAAGACGTCAACGTCTGAAGGGAAACACGGGATACAGTGGTCATCTAAGATGCAGTTGGATGATCTAGACTTCGCAGATGATCTGGCCCTTCTATCCCAAACGCAACAACAGATGCAGGAGAAGACGACCAGTGTGGCAGCAGCCTCAGCAGCAATAGGTCTCGATATACACAAAGGGAAAAGCAGGATTCTCCGATACAACACAGAATGCACCAATCCAATCACAATTGAGGGCGAAGATTTGGAAGATGTAAAAACCTTTACGTATTTGGGCAGCATCATTGATGAACAGGGTGGATCTGATGCAGATGTGAAGGCGCGGATCGGCAAAGCAAGAGGAGCATATTTACAACTGAGGAACATCTGGAACTCAAAGCAACTATCAACCAACACCAAGGTCAGGATTTTCAATACAAATGTCAAGACAGTTCTACTGCATGGGGCAGAAACCTGGAGAACTACAAAAGCCATCATCCAGAAAATACAGGTGTTTATTAACAATTGTCTACGCAAAATACTTCTGATCCATTGGCCGGACACTATTAGCAACAACGTACTGTGGGAAAGAACAAACCAGATCCCAGCGGAGGAAGAAATCAGGAAGAAGCGCTGGAAGTGGATAGGACACACACCCAACTGCGTCACAAGACAAGACCTCACATGGAATCCTCAAGGCCAAAGGAAAAGAGGAAGACCAAAGAACACATTACGCCGAGAAATGGAGATAAACATGAGAAAAATGAACAAGAATTGGATGGAACTAGAAAAGAAGGCCCAGGACAGAGTGGGTTGGAGAATGCTGGTCAGCGGCCTATGCTCCATTGGGAGTAACAGGCGTAAGTAAGTAAGTAAGTAACCCACTTCCAACGTCTATTCCTAATTTCCTCTTCAGCTGGAAGCTGGTATGTTCTCTCCAACAGGAAACTGTTGCTGATAGTATCCGGCCAATGGATGTTGAGTATCTTGTGTAGACGATTGTTTATAAATACTTGTACCGTTTTGATTATGGTTGTAGTAGTTCTGGAAGTTTCTGCTCCGTACAGTAGAACTGTCGTGTCTTGTTTCGGATATTTGTTGACACTTGTTTTGAGTTTCATATACTCTTCAAGTGTAGTAATGCAGCCCTTTGCCAATCCTTGCCTTTACTTCTCTATCGGATCCTCCTTGATCGTCGGTGATGCAGCCCAGTTACGTGGAAGTTTCCGTCTCTACCAGAACTTCATCAAGTGTGAATTAGTCGGTGCTCTCAGTGTTGTATTTGAGGATCTTGCTTTTTTCTGTATATGTTGAGGCCTACTGCTGCTATACTGTCCTTCTTCACTTGCATTTGTTGGTGGGTATGTGTTATTTACGAAGTTCAAATCGTCTAGTTGCATGCAAGCTGTCCATTGTATTCCGTGTTTCCCGTCAGATGTGGAGGTCTTCACTTGCATCTGTCAGCTGTCTCCCATACACGACTTCGCACTATAGTCCGTCGTATTATTTCAGTAGATCTTTATATAATTAAGGAATTGCGTTGTTACGTTTCGCTGAAGTGTTTCCATGTTGTCGTCAACACTAAGACATTTTTTGAAACCTGGTTTCATTTATATTAGCGCTATTCCTATTTGTTACTTTTTGTGCGAAATTGAATTTTTTCACTTTTTGGGGTACTACTACCACCGATCTCGACTCTCAGTACAGACTGATGTAGGTCAGAACAAAGGTAGGAGGGTCAAACTAAGTAAGGTACCAGTCGAAGAGAGGTCAGATCAAAAACTTATGTATCAATTCAAGCCCGAACTCGGCGCGCAGAAACGATAGTTCCAACCTCTCATATTTCCTTGGTCCTAACTCTCTTCTGCAAAAGGAAAACCAGTTCAATCTTTAGCTTCAAGGTCTAGATGAATGTGCTCAGAACATATCATTGATAAGGAACTATCCAGCCTCCCACATATAGTCATCAATAATAAGTGTCCATCCAGAATCGTTGAGCGAAACATGAAGGATATACCACAATCTGCAAGACATCATACAGTTCCTAATAAATCATTAACTGTTTTGAGTCGTGCTGATAGGGGCAGACTGCCGGTTGGGTTCAGTCAGGAATATATGTGGGTAAGTGACCATGACTGGGAGATTTACACACCTTTGCACCTTACCTACTGTCTGGTCTTTAGTATGTGAATCTGCCCGGCATTGGCCGACATATAAACCTCAATCCGTTAGAAGGCATTGTGGGCCAAATATACTTTTTGACTCAATTTGTACTCCGACATAGAAATAGAGAACTCAAGCGTGTATGTAGGGATTATATGAAAATCTCCCAGTATAAACAACAAGCCTATTCGTTAAGAGTCATTTTTTCCTAGCGTATTTGGAGGGGTCACTGTAATTGTTCTTGGGAATGAAATAAGAATCCTTTATAATGGGATGCACTTGTGCGTGGAAGGAATTCGGTTTACTGCATATTTACCTTTGAAGCTAACAAGCACAATCTGAAGTTTTACTGACTACTGTTGTTTGCATTCTTTTAAGCGTACGCACTCAAAGTTTCGTATTTTTCAGGTGAACATGAATGAATTCGGAACTGCTGGTTCAACGTGTACTTCTGATCCTGAAACACGAGAGTGTACTGTGGAAGATTTAGTCAAAGTTGTTGAAGAAATGTCACGTCTTCATTAGTAGCCAATGTGTAGCAGATAAATCATACTAAATGTTTATATCGATTTATTTATATTGATGCAGTTATTGCTATTCATTGTCTTTACTTTTGCCTTTGATGATGAAAGCCGCTAGATTTTTTTAAAGCCATATTTTGCCACCTAATTATTCCAAACATTTTAATTATGTACATGTTTCCTCTTTAATAATACACTTTTTCATTTAATGTAACGCCCATATAAATATATTAGAAGTTCGTCGAGAATTTGTCCGATCCTTCACTACATTGTTGGTGTTAGGGTACTGCTCTGCTGCTTATATTTCTTTAAAAATATATTGTTTACACCAATTCTTTTTTGTCCCGTGAAGTATTAGCTCTACTTAAACATTCAGAAACTAGGTTTTTCATGATGATGACATGAACACCGAATGTCTATGAGTGTGTAGAGGATCAGCCCAACCGTATTAGTTCAAGTCAAATGAAAAGACGGGTTACAAGGGGTCAGGGATATTTCATAGATTCCCCAGCACTGGCCGCATACTTGGAACATGTAGATAGAGAGTAACTTTGGTGGCGGTAGTACAAAGCTTATAGCGTGTAGGATGAATACCACTGCCAACAATTACTGGTTGGCCCTATGAGGAACAAGAGTAATGCCTATGATTTTATAGCCTTCAGATAATGAAGTCCAAATAACAACAGTGCCAATCTAGTCATGCAGAATCTTGTGACTTCCTGGTCACCCTACATTGTTTACACACTTCCAACTTCGTCATTAGTGTTAAGGAGTGACGCGGCAAAGCGTTTCGGGAACAATGTAAAACCACGCATTTGTAGGCAGATAGTTTAGTCATGTAACTCAGTTGTTTGCGAGCCACCCCTGTTGTTACCAGGCATCACGGCTTCGCTCTCAAGTTCGAACGGTGGGACTGTTGTTTATGCTGCCTCCAAAATGGCCACCAGTGTTACGCCACTCAAGAAGCACTATTCCAAACAATGTAGCTCGATAAGGTTATTGAGTTGTCAGAAATTCTAACAAGTTGACTAACCCGGACCATATCCTTGATCAATCAGCTTAGGCATTTGGCGAAAAATAACCGCTAAAAGAAAAGCTGTGGAAGTAAACAGTAGCGGAAAGTGATAAGACTAATGAAATCATTTCCCTATACGTACGTCTCAGTGGAACTACTGGAGGAGGTGTCGAACAAAATTTGGCGGCTTAATTAAAGATAATAGAACTAATGCTTCCCCAGCTATGATTATCGTGGAGACTACAACAACGTTCGAATACGCACAGGTAGGAAGGTATATTAGAAGTGACTTGAAACCGACAAGGAACGCTAAGGATTGTCATAGTATCGCGCGACCTATGAACTAAACATTTACATTGTGTGATCCGCGCTGTTTTTTTTACTGACTGCCGTGTATACATTCTCCAATTGCAGTGGATCTCCAGTTTTATCTCCATTACGGGACACTCTAATTGGGTCTTAAATAAAAATCTTCGGTTGTCTACCAGTACCTAAGACTGCTTAAGGCATTCCCAAACATTTTACTTATCTGAATATGTTACCTATCCAGCACTGCTGCCGGCTGAGTGAAACGATGGTCATTATGAAGAGGCTAGTTCAAAAAAAGCTGTATTGTACAATTTATAATGCGTTGACAGTACGCCTGTCATACATTTATGTTATTCAGCAAAATAATGTGGAGAAGTTAGTTACAATGAAAGTGTTAACAAAGAAAAGGATATTAATTCTGACATGTCATTACTAACGAGCATACGAACATTTTATAATACAGTGGTCTGAGTGAATTTCGCTTAAATCCACTACTTAATATTGACATATTGGCTGGGAAATGAAAACGAGTGGTAACCATTACCAGTATCGAAAGTGAGAAAACCAATGTTAGGAATAGTATTCCAAGACAAAGTCAAAGTGACATTATCATTGCCAATTAATCCGTAGCCATCATCCCAAAAATAATACTTTGAAGTCATTTTTTTGTAAACCAGTTCAGCTTTAGATCCACGTTTGATGATTTTGTCCCACAAAACAACTTGATTTAGTTTGTTATCTGCGGACTTGTATTCTGCAGAAAGATATAAAAAGAGTTGTTTTACATTCCAGTTGAACAGGTGATCTAGGGAAGACTGAAGGGAATTATTCGAAATGAAGTCTTACTGATAAATCAATAGTTATTAAACCCAAATCATTGTGATGACCGCTGTGAAGAGTGTAATCGTCAGCTCGATCGACTATTGCGCGACCAACGTTGATATCGACAGAAGCTGATGGTCTGATGCTTACAGTAGACAGGAAACAAAACAGCATTAACGCAGTATACGCGGTGAGAGTGAGAGTCAATAATGCACTACATCTTGTTACTATTGAGTACATTCTGCACAGAAAGCTGATACAATCTACCCGCTACGACGCGTATTATGACATAAAGCACACGACTGTATAAAATGAAGTACTAAAACAAATCCAAGTCAATGAAAAAATCATTATTTCAGTTAATAAGAAAATGAAGAAAAGTTTTCAAAAAATTTATATCCGAAGGATGTAAGTGTTTAAATTGACATGACCTGGGAATCTAAGCATGCTCCCTAGGTTTTCGTTCTTAGTGGAATGAGTGTTCAGTAATAAGGATAGTAAGTTGATGTACCTGTGTTAATCCTCAGCTACTTCGTTCATCCGGAAGCAGACAAGCTTTCACCAGTCGTCTCCCTTGCAGAAATGTTGATGACTCTGTTGGTAAACAGTGATGATAATCGCAAATGCAACCATATGGATGATATAAAAAGTTGCAGGTAGGCATGAACATTCTCAATCCGCTTAAATATATCATCAAACCCAACCTCACAGAGACTCCGGATCAAATGAATGACATACATAATTTCGTAGGTCGTGTTGCGTCAGAGGTATTTGAAAGAATAAAACGATCCAACAATGCAATTGTGTTTAATATACCGGACACATATGCCCTTAAAAATATCAAATCTAGTCTGCTTAGAGCCAGCAATGTGACACACATACCATGTGTATGCACAAGATTAAAAAAAGTCATCCTGGTATGTACTCACCGATCTTGTTCAGATTCAACTCATCTGTGGACGCCAGTGAGTTTTTAATCTTCGACAATTCATTGAGACAAAAACAGATTTTCAAGGATATTAAAATTCTTCCAGATAGAACACCATGCCGGCGAAAAACAGAAGTAGATATCTACAGACCACCAGCGTCAAACTCCCAAACCCATCATAATGCTAATGGTCGTAAAATTAAGCCCGATTTTAAGGGGTCGTTTAACTTTACAAGTATGCCGCCACCAAAAAACTCTCCTGAATCTCCAAAAGTTCAAAATCCAGAAGAAACTAATCCCGATGTAGGTGGTGTCCATCCTCTTAAGAATGTTGACTTAGGTTCAACCCAAAGTCTTTGTGCTGGTGACGAGTGGGATAACACAATCCAAATCCCTGTTAGTGCAACACCCAGTTACAGTAACTGTGCAACGGATAGCAGGAAAATTATTCATAACATTTATATAACTGACCACACACTTAACGTCGATATATTCGAACCTCGCAAACCATTGCAAGTATATTTAACAGCACACGATTCTCCCCAAATTATGAAGAAGCCGAAATTAACCACAAACCTTGGGAATAATTGTCTGGAACATGTTACCCGGTATAAATAGTAATCCGAATTGTAAATGGCCACTTGGTCGCACACATAGACCTGATAGCCTTGTTGGTCCGGCTTCCAGTATGTACATTATGCGTTTATCAGATGTTATATCCAATAGCAATGAGAAGACTTTTTTGTAATTCCACCGACTTTCCTGCCGGCAACGGTAAACATATTTGACATTATGACAAAGTGGTTGAATCTATTTCCCCTCGCAACACAACTCTTACCTTAGCCAATCCTACGAGTATTCATGGAACTACCAATTGCCATTTATACTCTAACCTGCTTCATCATGATAACTCTGAGTTTCTTATTCTTTCGTTCAATGCCCGCTCTCTGTCCAATAAAATTATTCATCTCAGAACCCTTTTATTCCTTATAAATCCAACCATTGTACTTATTACGGAAACATGGTGCAAATCATCTATATCCGATCATTCCCTGAAAGAAAACTACGTTTTCTTTAGAACCGATAGATATTATGGATTAGGAGGTGGTACAATTATCTATGTCCGCTCAGACATTCAGGCGTGCAAATTTGAGGACAAATCTCTTGATAATATAAACGACTCTACTTGGGTTACTGTAAACTGTGGATTTCAAAACTATCTACTGGTGGGATGAATAAACAGATCACCTATGCGGATACTAAGTCTGACAGATTACTAACAAACATCTTTCCCACTGCTTCGTACCAACCACATACTTTTTAAATCATCGGAGGTGATTTTAATCTACCAAAAATTACATGGGGCTTGACTCCAGTACCAGGTCGATATAACAAGCTAGTTGAAACATTAGAAATTTGTGGATGGGTTCAACAGGTCCGAAAACCGACAAGGGGGAATAATACACTTGATTTAATGTTCACAATCAACATAGACTCTATCTCAGTGCATACCAGTTATGAGTTATTTATGAGTGACCATAGAGTTGTATTGAGTATTATTCACTCTTTAAACGCCATACAATTGAACTCTACAGCTTCATTGATGTACCAAAGCAGATATTTTGATCAACAAACATGGAAACGGACTGAAACTCTCATTCGATGTTTACCATGGGAAACTTATTTTACCACAAATAATATTGACATTGCGCTTTCCAATCTATACCACAACCTGATATATTGTCTTGACTGCACTGCTCCAGTTATTGGCCGTGTGGCCTATAATGCTAATAGGGGCCAAAATACTTTTAAAAGAAAGCTGAGGAAATTAAAATACCGCTACTATGAGCAGAATGATGTGTATGCACTTCAGAGTATACTTAAACTGATCGACAGAAATGCTCCATCTAAACGTAAGTATTTTATGGATATAGAAAATAAACCCTATGTAGTAGAGGCCCAGAATTATCAATACTTCGGCTTTTTAAATCCCGTGTAAAGTCAAATTCCCTTGGCACGACTAAATTCTTCATAGTTAACGGAAGCATTGTTGACGACTCTAATATTATTTGCGAACAGTTCAGCAAGCACTTCTCACAATGCTACAAAACTGAAAGCGAACCCCCTATCATTACATTTCGAATGCTGACATCCAGACACCTATCGAAAATTGATTTTATACCCTCAAACATCAAGCAGGCCATGGCTGTCCTGAAAAAGTCTTATGATGGTGGACCTGACGGGATACCTTCATCACTTGCGAAACATTGTAGTAGACAATTACCACTATTTTGTTTGAAACTTTTCAACTTATCTATGGAAATTTTCACTTATCTATCTGTACGGAAGTCACCCCTAGATTCAAAACAGGATCACGGTGTGATATTGTTAACTATAGGCCAATTAATTTAACATCCGTGCTCTCAAGAACCATGGAAAAAATCACCCACAAACAATTATTATCATTTTTACCTTCGGCCAATTTGATTAGCCCATCCGAACACGGGTTTATGACTGAACGCTCATGTTTCACATCGCACCTGGAGTTTTTTGATCAAATTATTCAGAGAAGAGATGTTGGTCAGTCAGTGATAGTTCTTTACTTCGATTTTAGTAAGGCTTTCGACAGTGTCTCACACAACCTTCTTCTTTTAAAACTCTCTTCATTTGGCATACAGAATCCCCTTTTATCTTGGCTCAAATATTTTTTAGAAGAACGTAGCCAAATCGTTCGCTTTTGATCTTGATACTCTAAAGATGTGAATGTAACTAGTGGGATTATACAAGGAAGTGTGATTCGTCCATTACTCTTTCTCTTTTTTATCAATGACCTGTGTTCCCTCTTTCAGTATGGTAAACCTTTCTTTTTTGCGGATGATTTAAAAGTAGTTTATTCATTCTCTTCTCCCACGAAAGAAAGCTATATTTCAGCGGTAATCCAAGAAGAAATAAACAAGGTATGCGAATGGACTGTTTCGTGGAATTTGCCACTTAATGTTGACGAAAGTGGATTTATTCACATTGGCAGCTGTTTTAACCTAAATCTGACTATACACAAACATACACTCAAACCTCTCAACAATGTTCTTGACTTGGGTTTAAGATATAGCAACAGTTTGAAATTGTCTGAGCACATTGCATCTCAAGTATCCAAAGCTAGAAAGCTCATCGGATTGATAATGATAAACTTCAATAATATCAAATCGGAGTTATTAATACACATAAAATGTGTCTTACCCATTCTTGAATATGGTATTTTAGTTTACAGTAATTGCAGGCATAATGACCTGATTAAAATTGGAGGTGTTCAATGAAGGTTGACCAAAGCTGTTCTGGGGTATTTGGACAACAAATACTATCACCAAAGATGTCAACAACTCAAACTAGAACCTCTCTGGATCAGACGTATCAAATTAAACCCTGTCTTTATCTACCGGCTCATTAACGGCATTTCCTACTCTTCGGTTTCCACCCCTTCATACCTTATGATATCATCCCACAATCTACGCAATAAGAAGAATATTCTGGCGATTCCTAGAACCCACACAAACTTACGTCAGAATTTTTTCCTTATTCGCTACTCAACCATGTGGAACAGACTGCCAGTGAACCTCCGTTGCAGTGAAACTACAACCCGGTTCAAAAGTCTCCTTGATGATTTTCTTTCCGAAAGTGGATTATTTCACCTATTAAATATCAATGTATTCAACAATGATTTATACAAACAAGGTCCGTCATCCATTTAATTGCCTGAAAAGCAAAATAAAACCTTTAAATCTTCTCACGCCTATTTTATTTTATTTCTGTTCATCCTAATATATGAAGTCTGCTTATGTTTTTATTTATAATGATTACTGTTATTAATATCATTATTGGTCCCCCGACACATTATATATTCTTTTTATCTCTTCTTATCCTTCTAAACATATTTTATTCCTAAATATCCAAAGTCCATAACTAAAAAAAATTATCTCACGGTACGCTTAAATAAATTAACTTCTCACATTCATTTTATCTTCACCACATATAAATTACACATAGAAATTGATATTTAAATATCTTTTGCAATTAATTGTGACTTTCATAGCATCATTCTAAACGATTATTGCACAAATGTTTATACTAATATCAAGGTTAACTCTGAATCGTATTCTTCGTCCCTTTTCATCATTTTAGAGTCATCATGCAGATGAAATAGATGAAAATGTAAATGGACATGGAAATGCACTCGTACCTGAATGAGTAAGGAAAACGTGTGAAAAACCATGTAGAAATGCATATATATTCCAATCGAAAAAGATGGGATAGAAACCAAATACTTGTAAATTAACCATTGGTAACCCATACATATTGATATTTGGTTATTCTTTTC